ATCACCGAGTTTCGGGGCGACTGGAAGTGGCACAAACAGGTTTGGAGCCTGACATGCTGGTGGGGCGCCAAGTCGGTGTGCCATCTTTGTACGGCTGAGCTCAATGGCCCTGCAAGGCAACTGCTGGCTGATTAATAATAACTTTTTTGCTTGTGATACTATGTATGATGTGTTGTATTATATATATATATATATATATATATATATATATTATGAATATTTAATAATAATAATTTATTAACCCCATCTACAATAAGAATAAGAATAATAGATGTACATATATTTATAGTAATATATATAATTAATTATATTATTTTTAATAATGAACGACGATCTGCCTGCTAATACGTAACCAACCGCATTATAAGATTGGCTTTCGAACTGTCTAGTTTGATAATCTTAAGACCAATAATAATAATAATAATAATAATAAGAATAACAATAATATTATTAACAACACTACGAAGAAGCATATGTCAAAAAATAATACCAAGTACTACATGCACTCAACTCAGGGTTACGTAATACCACCGAACATATGTACAGGTGGTCGAATTTCGAGACTGTCCATCCCGAGCGCACCAGTACAGACTTGATCAACAATTTCATGGCCACTGTCAACCCGATGTGTGCCATAGCTGGCTGGGATGTGAAGATGATACGCTACTGCTCTATGCATTGCAGCAACATTGGCATATTGATTGTATTGAATGGGAGTTTGGTAGACCTCCTCTGCGAGAGGTCATTTTTCGGCACGAGTTTCGGCACGAGCAAGGAAGAGCAGCTACGGGAGTTAACAACTAGGATGCGCCGCTGGGCCAGTGCCAACCAGATCGAGCACAGCCAAGTTTATATCACGAAGGGCATGCATCGCAGGGACAAACGTGGTTATCCTGAATTGCTGGGGAAAGCGTACAACAACAGAGTTCTGCTGGCTTTCCTGGCAGTTTGCATGGCAACCCTGGCCGCCAGCTGTGATGATGTCGAGGTGCAGCTTGCTTCATCTGTGGCTCAGCTTATGAGTGTTTGGCATGATCGCTTGGAGCGTGCACCTCGCTATCTTACGGCTTCAGAGGCGGGATTCCTTGAAGAGACAAGCCTTCGATTCGTGAGGCAGTATAAACGCCTGGCCATTCTTGCTTATGTTGCAGGCAAAATTCGATGGAAGCTCATCCCTAAACTACATGCCTGGAGGCATTTGAATCTGTGCATGAAGGCTGAACTTTACAACTGTCGCTACTTTCATGCATTCCTTGACGAGGACAACATGGGGGCAGTGAAACGAATAGCTCGTATGTGTCATCGCAATCTTCTTGAGCTGCGAGTGCTGTCGAGATTGCTTTTGCGGTACAAGCACGTGAAGCGTGGGAGCTAAAAAGAGGCCATTCCCTTGCTTTCGATTCGTGTTTCAGTCCTTTGTTGGCCGCGCGGGCATGCCGCATGCGAAATATATCAGGTTGACCCTGTCGGTTTCATTGTTACTTGCTAACATTGAGGTCCCGACAGGAAGATAGGGCCCGGGTCTGCTATGATTTCGGGCCGAAATCAGCGTCATGCATTAACATGTCCTTAATTTAGCTCAGCATCTAGTTGTATTCAGGACAACCCACCCGAAGGGAAATCCATATAAAGACAAGCTATAAAACCATGGAAATCATGGAATTCGCAAGTGTTCTGAAAACATGCACTCGGAGCTCTACAGACCCCAAGTGCTATAAAAAACATAACTTCCACAGAAGTATGTGTCATAAGCACACTTAGGATGGCCAGGGTTAGGGACCCTATTATAATTTAAGGTATACTCCTTAATTAAGGGGTTTTGGAAGGTCTGGGTTGTGTTCGAGGGATGCGGGCCCTGCCGACGAGCCCCTGGAGGCTCGTGGCCTGGATGTGGTCCCCAGAGAGCCCGAATCCCTTAATTAAGGAATATGCCGTAAATCATAATGGGACTCATATTCTGATTTAGGCTATGTTCCTGAATTAAGGGGCTTGGGGCGCTCTGGGTCGCAGTGGTGGTACTGATGATGCAAAGCACGTCTTTCCTACCTCTGCTTGTAGACTGCTGCTACTACTCTCCAGTTACTGCTCCTGCCACTGCTACTGCTAGTGCGACTGCCACTGCCACTGCTGCTTCTACTGATGGTAATGCTTCTACTGCTTCTTCTGCTACATGTATTGCTGCTATTCCAGCTAGTGCTACCTCTACCGCTGCTGCTGCTACTGCTATATCAATATCTACTGATACTGTCGCTGCCACTGCCACCACGACGCCGACGCGGACGACGATGCCAACGACTACTGTTACACACACCTTAGGGCCATCATCGGAAGTCGTAGATCATTGCGGATCATCCGCAGATTCTGTTGAGGAAACAGACGAATCGCTGTCACTATCTGTCTCCACCCGCACCGGCGCCCAAGGAGGAACTGCACCTCAAAAACATTCGATTCGCCAGCTCTAGTATACGGGCCTTCCTTGAGTTCATGAATGCCCCAGGCCCCATAGTAGTTCCTTTTTGGGGTTCATATTTAGAACCCCATAAGGTAATCCCAAAAAGGAACTACTATAGGGCCTATGGGTAGAAGCTTCCCACTGTGCTGCTGCCACGAAGCTCGGCAGAACACAGCAGCAGCCTCGAACGGTTTGCTGAGCCGGCCAGAAACACACCACCAAATTAGGGTTTAGGGTTCAGGGTGGCACCACCAAATTATGCGGAATGAACAGGTTCCAGGCTATTGCACGACCTTCAATCAACATAATTCAATCGAGGGGGGGGGGGGGGGTTGTGGAGTGACAAGTCTTTGCTTCAAAAGCCGCAAGACTCAATGTAACCCTAAGGCTCAAAATGGCCCAAATGCCTTATATATATTATATAGTATGGTCTTTAAGCCCGAAAGCCTCAAAATGTGAGTCCTTAGGGCCTTAGGGTAAGAGTTCTCAGGTGGGGAGAGGGTTGGTACGAAATCCTCCACGCTTAGTATGGAGGGCTCCGCAACTCGTAGCAATGATTGACCCAAAGGCTCCATGTAGCTTTATAGTAGATACTTAAGCTTGAAAGGGGACCCTATGTAGGTACTTTGAGGCCTAAGTATATGCTATATGGGTACATGGAGCCTAAGGGTGATTCAGCAAGAAATGCCATGACATCCAGAAGTTTACGGCGTTGACATCCTCCGAGTTCAGGGTTTAAATTTAGAGTTGAGGGTTTCTCTGGCTCCCGCAGGACAAACAGCAAGGCAGCTAAATGTCTTGGGCTTACGGGGATTCGGGTGTCACCTATAGTCTCCATTGTAGTTCCTTTTTTGGGTAGTTCCTTTTTTGGGTTACCTTATAGGATCCTTAATATATACTTGGTTAAACCAAAAAAAGGAACTACAATGGAGACTATAGGCAGAGTGTGAGAAACCCAAACTCGAAGCCAACCCCGTGAAACACCGTGACGCACTTCAAGAGTAAATCAGCAGCCGAAACTTTTGACGCCAGGTAGATCCTTACACTTGCTGAATCAGCCCTAGCTTAAGTAAGTACCCAGATTTTCCACTATCCCTTCATCAGGAATATACCATAACCAAATTTAGGGATCCGACTATCGATTAAGGTATATATTCAGCATATAGGTACCGAGGCAAGCCGGTAAGCAATGTAATGCCATTGAGGCATGTATTCAGGGTTTAGGGTTAAGGGTTCTGCTCCGCTCCCTCATCCTGCTGCCCGGTTACTACAGCTCTACAGTTGCCGCCTGGCACATTTTATGTTATGTCGGCCCTTACAACTTGCAGCACCCAAGCATTCCCGTAGACCCCAAACAAAAGAATACTTTGAATAACATGGGGAATTAGCTCTCTAGACTCCAAGTAGGGTCCCTTTTAGGGTGCTTCTTATAAGGGTGCCGCACTATCTGGGGAGCACAAAACGGGACCTAATTTAGAGAACTACCTATATGGAGAACCCAGTTTAAGAAAACCCTCTGCCTCGGGCCAAGAGGAGCTGGAGAAAGACAGTTCCACAAAAGGGCAAAGACGCGAGTCGTTTCATGCCAAGACCTCAGACTCTGTAGGCATCCGCTGGGTGTCGGATTGAAGGTTCAGGTGAGTAGGGGTTGTAGAGTAAGCTGATGAAGCCTAGCCTGAGGTTTAAATTTATTAAAGCTTCTTTGCGGTTTAGTCACCTGTTCTGTACCCATAGGCTCCATAGTCGTTCTTTTTCGGGGTCATGTTTAGAATCCTATAAGGTAACCCCCAAAAGGATATCCATAGGCTCCGTAGTAGTTCTTTTTTGGGGGCTCATATTTAGAATCCTATATAAGGTATTTGTCCAAGGAAGTACTATGGAGCCTATGGGTAAGCCCCAAGCCCTAAACCTGTGGACCCTTTTTTTGGCATGGGCTTGAATTGTGGTGCCTGAGTCCCAAACCCCTAATTAAACCCTAAACCTGTGGAGCCTATGGGCAGGGCCTGGGTCCAGCTTTACGCTTGATGCTTTCAGATCAGGCTGGACTGTTTCGGGGTTTAGGGTTTACCCTCAGGGTCCTAACACATTGGGGAACCTCAAGATTGAGGGTTTCTGAAACCCCAAACAAACCCAAGGACTCCCTAGGACATTCCGGACCCTCCTAGGGAGATGCCTGGACCCTTAGGGTTTAGGGGTTTAGAGGTTTAAGCTCTCACGTTCGGACTCGCCAGGGGTTTAGAGGTTTAGGGGCTTAGGGGCCTTTGGAGCATCTGCAGCTGAGTTGCTGAGTAAAGTCCCTTTATACCCCTTTATTGTACAGCCTTTTTCCTACTATTCGGCTTAGTAAGGGGGCCCCAAACTAGAAAGGGCAAAAGGGTACTACTCAGGAACCTCGGAAGAGTCAACCAAGCTTCTAGAAGAAAAGCAGAATGCACACAGCTACGTTGCTGCAAGAAAGAAATTCGCGAGCAGGCCTAACCCCTAAACGTGACCCTTTGTACACTTGTTCAGCATGGGCCTTGGTTTTACACTAAAGCCTGATCCTGCCCTAAGCCCGGGCGCAAGCAAGTCCGAGCATGCTCGTGTACACCGTCAGGGGCAATGCAAACCACCGTCGATCTGGCGTAACTTTGTTAGCTTGAGACTCCCATACCTCGGTTCTTGGTTACCCAGAGGCCCCAAAGTAGTTCCTTTTTGGGATTACCTTATAGGATTCTATATATGAACCCCAAAAGGAACTACTTTGGGGCCTTAGGGTAGGAATGATACTCAGGCTACCATACAAAGCCATTTTACTTTCTATAGATGATTTTTCTGGTAACTTACAGAAAGTTCCTTAAGAAGAACCCAGATGCGGCAAGAAGAGGAGAGCTGATAACTAAGTAAACTGCCACGATCTTCGACATCATTTTCAAGATGAAACATCTTTCATCGCGAGGCTTCTTCCACAAAACAAAGAGCAGGCCAAGACGAGCCAGAACGGTGATGCTTTCCCAGAACCAGAGGGGGATGGATTCCAGGTTGATTTCGTTGTTAAGGTAGACGATGTCACAATAAATAGACCATAAGGTTTCCCACACCAGCGGCACGAGCGCAACGAAAGGAAAAGCGATCTCGGCATTTCCAGCACCCCGAACATCAATTCCTCGATGTGAAATATCTCGAAGAGTTGGCGATGACATCCCGGCATCTAGAAGAACATGGATAGCATAGTCGACATCAACGGTTTTCTCTCCAATCTCTCCAAATATCCGCTCTGCGTCAACTTGCTTAGAACATGTTGCCTGCACTATGCTGCCCGAAAATCCACAGCTCAGATGCTTGGCTTCTTGCATTTTGGCTTCACCGTTGATGCGGTCCACCTCCAACAGCACGAAGAAAGTCAAACCGGCGAGTAGAAGCAACCGCTGCTCCACAAAGGCCGCGAAAGCAGGCACCTCCTCAATGCCGTCATCATCAGGATCGAATTCTACTGTTCGCCAATGCATGATAATGATACCTACTGCCATAGCGCCGATCCTGTTCAAGAGCCTGCGACACCTGTTGTGGTTAATGTTGGCGCTGATACATGCAGCTGCCACCCCGACGTACAAGGGAGTCGGCTGGATCTTGATGTGTCGCGAACAAAAGCCTGGGCTGATCGCATGCATGCATGAGTTTTTGGCACATCTAGGCCCTAGACCAGCAGATGTGCACGAAACCGGACAGTCAGCACTCACGAGCTGAGCCCTCAATTCACCCTAAGGGTCCATGTACCCATATAGAGATACATGGGTCCCAAAGTACCTATATAGGGACTACATTATATACTATATGAGTACATGGACCCTTCGGGTCACAACGAGACCATCAACAGCAAAGCCACCACATATCATCCCAAGGAGTCCTTTTCAGAGGGAGTTGCCTCTTCTGCTTTCTGCTGGTGCCCGGTTACCTAAAAGTATACCTGGACCCGAAGGAACCTACATTTTTAGGGTTCCCTAATATGATTTCTTTATATAAGTCCTTAAAAAGGTAGGTTACCTGGGGTTAAGGTATTCCTTGGGTATATGATTATGTAACATATGGTTGGCAACCTACGATAAAAGTAAGTGGAGCTCCAGGGTTACCGAATCGGAGATCAGTGCTATAGGGACCTATGCACCAAAAGAAACGAGGCACTTGATATTGATTTTCCTGCTCCATTCATAAAAACTACTCTTTGAAGTACGGTTCAGGTTCATAGATCGAGACATCGGGCTAAAGCTAAACCCCGGACCCAAAAGCTCCAAACTGTCATCAAGGTTTGCCAACAAAGCCGATAGAGAGCCCAAAGACTCAAACCCTTTTGGATACTCCCCGCATCGAAGTCGTAAATGGAAACCGGCTTCCCCAGAAACCTAAAAATCTGTCAATGTAGGGACCATGAGGGTTCATTACCGGTATCGTGGATCCCACCCCTGTATTGCGGGGATTCCCTAAACCCTGGCCTGAACATAGGTCAACAACCCTAAACCCAAACTCTAAACCCTAGGCCCATTAAACCCTAAACGAAGGCCCTACAGGGAACTCCAGAAAGTTGGAATATGGTTTCATGGTAGGATACCCTATAATTTACCGTAGAAGGGTTAGGATAATCATATTCCAACTTTCTGGCTTTTACCTTAGATGAAGTCCTGAGAGGTTCGCCCAGATAATGGCATGGCGCATCTGCTTGCTGTTCGAGGCCTTGGACTTTTCCGTAGCTTTCTGAATTAGGGTTCCCTTTTAATTAAGGTTACTTAAATGTGATCTATAAGGGTTACTATAATACAACGTTAACGCGCTTTTTTCACCCATGTGGGCTGCGTTACACTTCATTTCCCGTGGCAGGCGTGGGACTTTTGCCAGGAACCTGGCTTTAGGGCCTCGAAAAACTAAATCAAGGCAACTTCAAGCGCAGAAGAAACCGATGCATCCAGCGTGACCCTGCCGGACGGGGTAATACGAAGAAGTCTTATTGTTGATTAATCAGATTGATCATTTTCTTCATATAAATGACTATTTTGATTATAAGAGGGTTTAGGGTGTAGAGCTTAGGGAGATGGCCAAAGGACTTTTCCTGAAAGAACCCCGCCAGAGTATCATGCTTGGGACGGGGATGCTCTGTGGGGACGGATGGAGTCTGTGTAGACGTTATCATGGCGGCTCTGTGCACAGGACAAAACAAACACACACACACACACACACACACACACACACACACACATACACACACACACACACAACACACACACACACGCAACAACAACGCCAAAAGCACACCATCAAACAAACGAAAACGCCCCCTCTATCTGCAAGACACACACACACACGCACATGCGAGCGTTTTGTATGTGCAAAAAGCACACGACACGCCAGGGAAAATCAAGCACGCCGACAAGCTATAAGGGTACGATTAGGGTAGTTCTCTAAATTCAGGTCCCCGTTTACATGTCCCAGAAATAATACGGCACCTTCGAAAAAGGACCCGAACAGGGACCCCCATTTTGGGAACTACCCTGGATTTAAGCCTTGTACTTAGAGTTAAGAGTTTAGGAATTTAAGGTCTAGTAGTCTAGTACTTGCCCATGGTCCGGCTGTCAACTTGATACGTAAGTGAACAAGCAAAAAAGCCCAAACACGGTCTACATAAACAAAGCCTTTCACAAAGAGCTGAGCCTGGGTTCTGAAAGCTGTAAGCGCTATACCCGCTATGGTTAAGGGGTCGCTATCGACTGTTTTAAGGGTGATACCCGGCCCTACATCATTCAGGGGCCGTAACCTGCCAAATCGTAGGGGTTTTTGGAGGTTGCAGGGAAAGCCTGCACAATTTCTGGGCTTTGCCGAGCCGGGAAACTCTAGCAATAAAGATGGTCTTTCCCTCCTCCTGGGCACGGTAGGCTTCGTAGCCACACCAGAGCCTCGTTGGAGAAATCGAACTTCGAGGATGAGAGGGTCGAGGAGTGCAGGGTCTGGGTTGCAGTTCTTTGCTAGTCGGGTGTAATTACCCATAGGCCCCACAGTAGTTCCTGTTGGGGGCTCATATTTAGAATCCTATAAGGTAATCCCAAAAACTACTATGGGGTCTATGGGTAGGGGCCAGCGTTCTTCACATCTCCTGTGTTTAACCCCGACCTGGTGTAGATGCTACGGTGGCGGTTGGGCACCACGAGGACGCACGTAGAGGCCTGGAGTGCTCGTGCGAAGGGCGACGTGCCGGGAGATTGCAAATAGGATCCTATGTCCAAGTTCTGCGGGTTGGCCAGCATGCAGCACCAGACGTGCCGCGAACCCGAAGGCCAGGAATGCAAGACCTTGGACAGGAACTCGAAAACACCCTCCTGCCAAGCATGGCTGATGAACAGGTCGCAGTGCAAGCCATCCGGATGCCGCATTAATGCCCAGCTGACCTTGCCGGCTTCATCGGTCACTGGCATGATGTACTGCCTGTTCACCGTGTGGATGTTTGGCCCATACTGATCGTCGGACGGCTCAAACGGATCACTCTCATCAGAAGGACGAATCTCCCCACCCTGGATGGCGCGCCAAACCTCATGCCGCAAATAGATCAGGTCTGACCGTGTGACGCACCAGCGGTCGGGAGCTACGATGTCGTGCAAAGCCAGCGCTTCTGGTGTAGTGTACCTCGATGACGCCCGACATCTGGCCATCTCACTTTCAAAAGTCAGCTACTAAACCAGCTAGGTTTCTTGTGGGTGTAGGTTTCCGCAGCCCTCAAACCAAAACCCGATGATGCTTCTGAAACACCGAAGCAATCAGGGATCAGAAGGTCAGTGGGTAAATCCTCAATGCGGGTACTTCTATAAGAGATCGGTGGTCCATCCACCTTTACTTCAATAAGCCATCGGGTTTAGGGTTTAGGGTTCAGGGGTTCGACAGCATTTCTTTTTAAACATTCCGATTCCTACTAAACTAGAAGAACCCAAGAAGTTTAAAAGTTGGCTACTGGAAATCTAAGTTTATCCCAGCCCCTGCCGAAGGTCCTATCTCAAGCTGCAAAGCTGCAGGACCGGCTACTGAATGCAAGAACATGCGCAAGCCAATTTTGGGACTCTTGTCATTACTTAGAATGACGTTCCGGGACTTATCATACCTGGTATGTAGGTATAGATAGATAGATAGATAGATAGATAGACGGATAGACAGACAGATAGACAGATGAGGAGACAAATGGATAGATAGATGGATAGATAGCAAGCAACCCCAAGGAAGACTATTCCTATTGCATCCAATAACTCTAGTGACCACCTTATGTTCACAGCCCAGAGACACAAAGTTAACGGTTTAGGGGTTTGGAGATCGACCCTGCCGTCCTTGATTGCTTCGGAAGGCACCGCACTGCACCCTACCTACAGCCCCCAGTTTGAGATTTCCAAAACCTGTCACCTGAGACTTCGCACATCAGATATGCATTTTGTGTTTAGGGATGTGTCTGGGCTGTTCGAGTGGGCACTGGCCTCTTTGAGATGCCTGGGAAAAACGCCCGAACGGTTTAGGATTTGTCTTAGAAGCTGCCCCCACAGTGTAATAGTGACTCTAAAGATAGCCCTACTATATTGCAATTACACCACTATTACAGGGCTTTGGGGCCCCTTCTAAGATTTGGCTCCGTTCTTTTGGGCCTTCTGGGCTTCTCTAGGGTCTACGCTTTGATACTGATCGGGCTGCGGACCCCGGAGATACCCAGACCTTCCAAAATCCCTTAATTAAGGAATATTCCTTAAATCATATTAGGGACCTTACTATAATCTAAGGTATATTCCTTAATTAAAGGATTTTGGAAGGTCTGGGTATGTGGGTGGTTGTCAATATTAGGGCCCCTTATTGGGTCCTTATTATAACACGGCATCTATTATTTATGGTACCCAAAAAGGGACCCTAATTTTGACAACCACCCATGTATATAACGTCAGCACGAGTCGCGGCTCTGCATCACGCTCGAAATTCAGCAGGCCCAGGCTTAAATGCCCAAACCATATCCAGGACCAAGACCCCACGACCCTGAAAAGCCCACATTCTCAAACAGCCCGGCAAAACCCAAACCCCACATCTAAAGCCCCATATGAACCGACATATGAACCCAAAACATCCCACAACCCTAAAGAATACTAGCCTCAGCGCCTACGTAGTGGTCACCGGCATATTCAAGCGTTTCTGGGTTTGAGCGTGGGGGTTCAGCTCTGAATTTTACACACTGACAATCAATGTATATATATACACATATGTATATATATATATACACACACACATAGTTTTACGCTCTCACAACTCGGAGAATGCAGGCAAGGTCCGTCCGTCGTGCATGACAACAGGGTTCAGGGTTTAAGGGGAGAGAGAGAGAGAGGGATACAAATGCATTTATATATATATATATATATCCATATCCACGTATATATATATATATATATATATATATGTCTTAGTGGTCCTAGTAAGGAGCCCTGAAGAGATAGGTTTATCTGGCATAGTTAAGCAGGGTTTTCCAGCTTTGCGCTTGAAAGCTTGGGATTCTAGTCCAGAGGGTTTTTGTTGTTTAAAGTATACTTAATATTGAAAGGGGGTGTTAGGGGTCTTAGGGAGTTTAGGTTGGGATACGCCTGCTTTCTATAGGCTAATGAATGGGTCTCGACTCTCTGACAACTCGCACAAGTAAAGGGTTAAGGGTCGAAAGGGCTTAAGGAGTAACTTGAACCGAGGTTTCAACAAGCCAGTGCTAGACATGGTAGTGGTCCGCCAGAGTTGCACATTGGCAACGCAAGCGCCATCACAAGCACGTATGTTCACATAGTGATCTGGAGTTCAATGGCTGCAGAAGTGGCCATGAGCACATGTCAGTGTAATCGTGAATTGTCGCCTGCCCGCAGTGGCAGAAAAACACGATGCAAATGCACCTGCAAATCGATGTTATCATGCAGGTCGAGAGCTCAGCAATTCTTCATACCTACCCACCAAGCTCAAAATCAGAATAGGAAGTTGGGGGTATACTATACCTTAAGATGAAGTGTATTACGGAACCGCAAGGAATACAGTATCGGCAGTTGTTCAAGCCCTTATTTTAGGCACAAACTCGGTCCTAGTTCCCGCCGTTGCTGAGCAGATCGTGAGATTCGGACGAGGAAAGAGACGAATCAGTGTCCGTGGCCGGGTCTGACTCCTTCTTCAACCACGAGCGCAGCAGTGCACCTCTTCAAGGGTTTGGGCTTCACTGGGACGGGGGGCTTAAGAGGGGTTTGGGGTTAAATAACGATATAAGTATACTAATTTGTTCAAGACATGGATTATACTAGTAAAAACCAAGCATAACGACAACTACTTATAACAATAGCCATAAGTTTTAATATAAAAAGCATTCGCACAGAAATATCAGGCCAACATCTGGACAGGGCAACATGACTTGCACAAGCTTGACAGAATTATCGCACCGAAAGTTATCCTAACTCTGGGCGTCAACAGATACCGTCACATGAAGGCCGCATGTCTGGGCATTAGACTTCTGAAATAACGCTCATTGTACCAATATAGTGACCTTGATAATTAGAACAAGGGTTTGGGGCCCACTATACTATAACTATGATAAAGGAACCCCCCAAAATAGTACTCGTAATTATTTAAGCCCCCACGGTATGGTACCCTTATAGATCCCTTGTAGTTGCCCGTATAGACCCCTGTACAGGAACCCTAGAAACCCTAGGGCCTTATACTACTCGGTTTTAGGGCTCAGTGCTGGGGCTCCGGGCACAGACTTGTGAGGAACTCTGAATTTGAAGCTGTCGAAGCCAGCCCAATGTAGGGGCCTTAACAACTAGATAAGGGTTTTGGGGTACAATATACTATTACTATAGTTATATAAATATAAGGGACGCGCAAACAGTGTAGGTAGTGATTCAGGCGCCTTTGTTGCTAGCTGCCCTACGTTGTACCAACTTGTTGAACCAGAGCCCAGTACACATCAACACGTTCACTTTTCGGCGACGAAGCTGCGCCCTAAAGGCAGATATATCAGCTGCATACCAGAAATTGTACATTAAACTAGGAAGACCCATAAACATGCATATGTAGATGTACATAATTACATATGATATTCGTATCGACAACTGACAAACGATCCTCAAGCCAATCAGATTTCATCCCAGCTGCCTCCAAAATACCCACGGCCTCGGGCTAAGAACAGCTGCAGCAAGCCTGGGCTCTTGTTAAGGAGTTTAATTAATTTAACTTACCATAATGAAGAAACCATACTATGTATTATTGAACCCCTATTGTGGTCACTTAAGTTGAATCCATATAATCTACTATAGATCGCTATTATGGTAACTTACAAAACTGAAATCCCCTAACGAGAACCCAGAAGCAGGGGCCACAGCCCGGACACCGCAGAAAGCGGCGCATTCCCAGGCCTTGGCTCAAGGACGGCTTTCCCCGGACTTCAGCAACATTCCTGACATGATGTGGATTTAGGGTTTAGGGTTATGTGAAGGAAGTTGATCTAAGTTACCATGTAATAGGGATCTATAGCAAATCATATGGTTCCTTTGCTTTTCTAACTAAAACTAGCTTCCTTAAACGGAACCCAGATTGTGGTAGGACCCACACTACGATATGTACGGTACACCCTAGATCGGTTCTTCGGTAACTTGAAGATTAAGTGATTTAGGGAAATGCAGACATCTGATGCAGACAGGAAATATCTGTCGGAATTTCAGAAGTATCTGTGTCAGGTTTAAGGTCGAGAGCTTTGGGTCTTTGCAAGGAACTGCCCAGACATTGGGACGTGACGTGCATGTCTCTCGGCATTCCGGCTCTTGCGGTTTCCCGGTTGGAGTAGGGTTTAAAATCCAGGGGTTGAGGGGTGGACGGCAGTCCGGTGCTGATTCCACGGATTTGAAGCGTTCCATCATGCAGCTCTGATTTGTCTGAGAATGCGGGATTGAGATTCTTGCCCTTAGTGGTACCTCGCTTTTGTTGACAGCCTCGGATTGGCGGTGTTTTGCATTTGCAGGGACTTGTTCCCATAGAGCCATAGGATAGTTTCCGAAAATAGGGGACCGTAATACAGTACCCTACATAATAGGATCCTTATTATCAGGCCCCACAAATAAGGTACCCCTAATTTTGGGAAACTCTAAATCCTAGAAGCCCCTTAAAGGAGCCCTTATAGTAACCCTTTCAAGGAGAGCCATAGATGCAACTTAGATGCAAGCGAATCCCAGGATGCTGGCGTAGACAAGCAGAGGCGCTGCAAACCACCCGCTCTTTGGAGTTGAAGTCTGCCTAAAGCGTCCATTGTAGTTCTTCTTTTTTTGGGCTACCTTCTAGGATCCTTCATATAATACGTGTTAAACCAAAGAACAGGAACTACAATGGAGGCTCCAGGTGCATCGATTCCAGCTCCCAGGTGGCTATAAACGGACAGGCCAGAACAACCCAGAGGCCAACAATCTTCCCCATCCTCGGCTCGTTCAGGGCTTAGGGTTTCAGCACTCACTCTCGGAGAAACCTAAGGTTTTTCCTCCTAAAGTTTTAGGGTTTAGGATGTTCGTAACATTCTTATGTGATAGTTGCTGCCATGACTATTATAAGAGTTAGCATGTGTGTATTGTATAACTGTTGCTGTGCTATAACTATGATTATCATGGTGGTGCGTTTGATA